CTAGAAGTACATCAACTTGATACACTGATACATAATAACATCTAGAAGTACATCAACTTGATACATTGATACATGGGAACATATAGAAGTACATCAACTTGATACATTGATACTCCATCCTTCTAACTTGACTGGAGTCACTACTGTGTCTCTAGATACTATCAGATTTGACCAATAGTTCGGTCCTGTATATATATAGAGTCACAGAAGTGTTACTCCATCCTTCTAGCTTGACTGGAGTCACTAGGGTGTCTCTAGATACTATCAGATTTGGCTAAAGGTTCGGTCCTGTATATATATATATAGAGTCACAGAAGTGTTACTCCATCCTTCTAACTTGACTGGAGTCACTACTGTGACTCTAGATACTATCAGAAACGAAGAATAAAAGTTTTTTTGTAAATACAAAATAGAAAAACCCCGTCTTAATAAAAAAAATGATAACTCAATTGAAAAACGAGATATATGCATGTGTATTGGACAAGTTGAGATATTTCGCTCCACTAGATGGTCACTACAAACAAGTACGTAAAACGTAACTACATAGTAATAATGGCTGGAGACGGCTTAAATGGGTAATGAAGAAAAACTTTAATATAAGTTTAACATGACAGCAAATGTACAACGTTTCGACAAGGTTTTGTCATCATCATTTGCTGTCATGTTAAACTTATATTAAAGTTTTTCTTCATTACCCATTTAAGCCGTCTCCAGCCATTATTAGTCTCAAAGTGGGTTCCTCGTCATCGAATTTGAATACCATCGTTTTAGTTCGCTGCAACACCATATTAATGGGAAAACTTATGCAAATGTGGAAGGTGTATTTTTGCTTCAAAGCAAAGTGATTTCTTTAATCAGGACATTAACAACCTGATTATAAGATGCAAAAGCATCATCGATAAGAATGGAGACTATTTCATTTAATAAATGTTTTGTTTTGATATACAAGTTGTTCGGGTTTTTTCATCTAAAAAAGCGACATTAATTTCTGACGACCTTATACCTCTTGACATTATTTGGAGTTCGTAGGGTTTTGGCACTTTTGGGAAGGTATAGGTAATAATGCTTTTCGTCGCAAAATAATCATACACTATGATCATAAAGAAGTTAATTTAGAATAACCAAGACGGAGATATCTCTTGTATGTAATGTCAGTTAAAAAGAAAGGAATACGGATTAAATTGGGTCACCAGGACCACCCAGAAAAATACTAACAATAAGTCGTAACCCAGCAGTGGTAGGAAAAGTGCGGCGTCGTGTAACAGGTGAGAATCCACGATTATATGGATCAGTGGCAAAAGCCGTACACGTACCCCAGGTGACAGTACATAAAATAATTAAGAAGGATGTCCGTCTAGAAACGATGCCAACAGGGTATGGATTCATCAGTACGCTTCCAGTCTACTTCTCATTCAACAATTAATATACCTCAAGCAGCTGGAGACTGAAACAGGTATTCCTACTATTCCATGCTGATCAAGCTGACAGATACAGCATCTATATATTTCATTGTGATCAGATTGTTCAATTGTATTTGGATGATGATTATTCCAATGAGATAAAAGTAAATATATCTATGACATTTAGAAGGACAG